CACACACACACACACACACATCTCTCTAGACGAATGCTGATTAATTTAATATAAAATTACGAAAACTGTATGTGACTTATCAAAACGTTATTACATCATTATCAATATGAATTATTTACACATTTATGATATATTATTTATGCAAGAAAAAATTCTTGTTAATTTTATATTTTAAAGTTTATTCCATCTTATATTTCTTGTAACATAAGGAAAGATGTGTTAGAATTTGATTTTAATTTTGTACTGAGTTTATAAAATTAACGGGATAAAATCAATAAATATAATAAGAATAATAGTATTATATGTATAATCAAAATAATAGAGCAAATAAATATATAATAGGAACATAACAATTGACGAGATTAAACATTTTATACAATACACAATTAAATAATTTATATGCATTATTTTTATATATGCAATATAAAAAACATATATAAAAAATAGATATAACGTGTAACGCTTTTATAAAGTAAACGAATTAATAAAAACACATTTTAATTATACAGAACTTATAAAATTGTTAAAAGAAAAACGTTATCAAGTCTGATATTTAATTTACCTACGATTGCCAGTGCGACCAGGATACACGTTAAGAGCTTCATTGTATAGATTTGCTTTCGCACGTAGTAAACTTCGGAAAGCACAGTAATGGCCAATGCGTATGGTACAATTTATATACATATTGAAATATGTACACAGTTGTGAATGATATTAATATATTCCATTTTTATCGTGTTATAACAAGGTTATCACGTAAATTTGTCATCAAATTAAGGATGATATTTAAAATTGTATACATTTTTATTCAATTCATAAGCAATCGTGTATTGTGAGCAAAATTTGTATTATTAAACGAATAAAATATTATATATTTTTATAAAAATGATCTGAGTTGTCATAAATCTAATAATAACATTTCGACAATGATAATAGATTATTGGTTGTATTTTGATTTCATTACATTAGAATATGAATAATTAAATATATAATTACAATTAAGGGGATGGGCGGAATAAAGGCACAATTCTACTTAGGCCCTTTTTCCGATAATTAGCTTTTTTATATGTAATATTGATCGCAATAGAGAAGATTTATAACATGTAAATTCTTAAAAACATTACATAAATTTATTTAATATTGTATCCATTTATGTATAATAAAAAAAGTAGCAAGTTATTTTAATTTGTGTTAATATCAAGATTTTGTAATTAGGCTTTTATTTCGCTCATCCCTTCAATTATTATAATTCCTTAAATATATAATTCACGTATGAGGGACTTATCCAATTTAATTAAACTAAAATAATTTGGAAACTCTTTTATTATTTTAGAACAATTTGTGTAAAATAGTTTGTTTTTTTATCAAAATAGTAACTATTTTGAAATATTCTTGTTCAATAAATTTTAAAGAATGTTTTCCAAAATGTTGATGCAAAAATGTATTAAAATTTTTGAAATTATCTACCCAACATATAATTTTCTCCAAGGGATGTCCTATAAAGAACATCTAAAGAAGACATTCCCAAGAGAAATGGATGTTTAAATCAAGATACTGTAATAACATTCTCAATGTGCCAGCAAAACCGATATATAACCGCCCGATGTCTTTAACAAGTAAAAATATAATATTTATAAAAAATGTATGTGATGTGTAAAAATAACTTAATTAACGACGAGATGATAAGAATAAAATCTTACAGATATCTTACATATTGTACATGTATGTATAAATCACATAACAAATAAAACAAAAAAATATTATATACACAAAAGTCGTTTTTATTTTATTTTTTATGTGATCTATATTAAGAATCGATAAAGGTAAGAGTAAAGGTGATATGAACAATTTCTATTAGCTAGCTTATATTACAAAATGTGGACATCGTCATAGGACACAGTTTTCCTGCTATAAGGTAACAACGATTTGTTGGCTCGAGTCAATATCATCATTAAGTTCTTTGTTTTCTTTGGCTCCAAGTTACATCACTTGTACTTGCATGCAGCTTTATAAACTCCTTCGCACTTGACATACATAGCCATACGCGATACATTTATATGTGTTATATAGATCGTGTATAAAATCGGACAAGTACTTTAATTAGTATATTGTATAATTTATATTTTGTTCGTATATATTAAGTTAATCAAGAAGATAACATATTTGTGCAACCAAAATTTCTTCTACAGCGCAATAGAGACATGTGTGTCCGAACGTATTGACAAATACTGTCATAATGAAAATTAAATGATATCGACAGATCGCGGCCTTGAGTCACCATCTAAACAAACGAATGGATTAAATATTTAATAAAATTAAATATTTAATTTTTGAATGTTTAAGAATAGTAATTAGTGTTAAATAAATAAGTTAAAATGTTTGATATATTGTTAATTATGTTTATTATTATTTATAATATGTTTTTGTTATTTATATTACATTATTATATACAAGGTGTTTGGAAAATAAATCTTTCGCATAGAGACAGAATGGATTAAACTGAGAAGAAAAGTCCTCTACCATTTTGCAATTTTCGCAATAGTTAACAAGATATTAATTGCTAAAAATTATCAAAAATTGGTCTTCAATAATTTTTTACTCAAATACTATTAATTTTACAGAAAAATTGCAAAAGACAAAAATTGTTTTTTTTTTTTTCACAAAACTCTACGAATTTTTTCAGAATTTTTTATTAACTTTTTAGTACTGCATTTTCCCATTTTTATCAACATGAGAAAATACAGTATTAAAAAATTCTGAACAATTTTTTTTTTATTTTTAGATCTCTATGAGAAGAAAATAAACAATTTTTGTCTCTTGCAGTTTTTCTGTAAAGTTGATAGCATTTGAGTAAAAAATTATTAAAGACCAATTTTCGGCAACTTTTAGCAATTAATATCTTGTTAACTATTATGAAAATTGCGAAATGGTAGAGAACTTTTTTTCTCAATTTAATCCATTCTGCCCCTTTATGCGAAATATTTATCATTATTTTCCAAACACCCTGCATAATAGATTTTGTACTACGTATACAATTATTTTTCATTTATAACGACTTTAATCATTTATTTTAAAATGAATTGATATAGTATTTAAAAATGAGACGGCTTCTTTTGTCTACAAATCGATTGCCTACAGTATCGTTTGCTTACATTACTTTTGCCGACAGTTAAATTCGTTTGCGCACAAAAATTTTTGCCTACAGCTCAATTGCCTACATACATTTTTGCACATAAATAAAAATTTCAGAAACGAAGTCACATTTTCCTACATGTACTATTGCCTACATATACTATTCTCTATTTTAAAAACACAAATTTGGTTTTAAAACACAAATTTTCTGCTTTAAAAACACGATTTCTCTGTTTTATTCCGATAATAATTTTTCGGCGTATGAAAAATATGAGGATTGCCTAACGAGGTATTTTCAGTTCTTCTAAGCTCAGTGCTTCTAGCTCCTTGCGTAAAATTATACCATATAATATCGAATTTTTTCTCGCATTTGGGTGATACTATTAATCACTGCCCTAATTTTTTTATAAGATTCGTTTATATTTCAATCCAATTTTTGTAGCTCGATGTTCAAAATCTCAATTCTTTTAAAAATTTCTGTTGTTAAGGATAACAAAAAGTAAAAATCGAAGGCTTTTAGATGTTTAATGAATTCTGTTACTTTTGCAGATATACTGCAATGTACAGTTCCATCAGAACTCTTTTCTTCAAAAAATGCTAAGGCAGCTGCTTTATTGTCTATTGTCTTCAAGGATTTAATCCGCATACACCATCTAAAAAATAATTTAAAATATAATTCGGAATAAGTATACAGTACGGATTAATTATCATTACATACATTAAAAAATAGTTATTGAATTAAAGAAGTAAATTATTTACATGTTCAGGACAGAAGTCTGCTGCAAGGGCTAGGACTACATATCACATAGATATGAAATTCAGTGTATAGAATTCCATACATTAAATCATTTAGTGCATGGAATACTCTATACCTACCATAGTACTTTCGCTACCCATGGAAATGAGCAATGTTGGAAAAATGGGGACTCTTATCTTTTGTTACGTTTTTATTTGTGGTTGCACGATACGTTAAAAAAAAAGAAAATAAAAAGGACATGACTATAAAACTTGTGACAATTTTTTACATAGATGTATTTAAGAAACTATGTTAAAATTCCGAACGTTTCGACCAACATTTGGGACCATCATCAGCGAAATACAGAAGTTTAGACACGTGGAGATTTCCTTGCAAACTCACAAAGCAGATTGAGTGATTGCTCAGATGTAAATTTAAATCCCTTCAATTTGATTCCATGCCATGAAGGGATTTAAATTTACATCTGAGCAGTCACTCGATCTGCTTTGTGAATTTGCAAGGAAATCTCCACGTGTCTAAACTTCTGTATTTCGCTGATGGTGGTCCCAAATGTTGGCCGAATCGTTCGGAATTTTAACATAGTTTCTTAAATACATCTATGTAAGAAATTGTCACAAGTTTTTATAATTGTATCTGAGCTCCAATTACCGCGCCTTACTCTCATTTGCCTTGTATTGTTAATGTTTTTTAAAATTTGAGAATTATTATTAAGCTTTTTATTTTAAAAAGAACATAAGTTAATTAACGAATGAATTAATTTACTCAGCAGCTGCTAATCTTAATTTTTCATTTCATATTTTTGTTGTATAGTTATATGAATTTCAATAATGATAAAATGAAGAATGATAAGAATACTAGAATGATAAGATTATTCTTTCACTTTAAAGTAGTTGTGATAATAAAAATATACTTTTCAACAACTGAATTACTAATAAGCCGATATAAAATCCATCATAGATATGTGATCTAAGTACTTTAGTTAGGTTATTGACCGCTTGGTGGCTATCATTTTAAACTGTATATTAACAGTATATTAGAAGTGAATAGTTAAAAGTATATAAAAAGTTATATAAATTTTGAATTGAGGTTTCTATTTATATTTATAAATTCTTTCTTAAGAATTAAATCATAAAATATTTATTTTTTCTTTATTACTGCACCGATTTTCGGAAAATGAAATTAAGGATATGAGTATGTCGTTTCTCGATAGTGTTTATGTTCGTTACATTTTCGTTATAAGGACGTGCTACCGATTGTTATTTCGGATCCCTCCTTCCGGAGCGGAAAGGGATCTGATAGTCTGATACCGGTCAGGGAAACCGTTATTTGGAGTTTGCATCTTCGTAAGATCTTGTTTATCATTATGCGATTGAACTTGAACACCATTAAGTTTAATTGATGGTTGCTCAAGTCCTAATCACAATTATATAAGCTTGATCTTTGTTTCTTTCTTCAATTGATTTCAAAACAATTGTGAGGTTTATAATTAGGTCTTTATTCGTATGGTTTGACGCCCGTATACTTGGACGTTGACAACATTGCATGTCAATTATATGTGCATATCATGTACATAATAAAAGGTAACTTCCATTAAGTACTAATTAGATTGTACTTTATATGAAACGAAACAAAGGGTATGTGGCTCCAGTTTAGCGCTCTGAAGCAAATATGCTCACTGAATCGGTAACGCATTGACTATCTTTTTGCAAGAGTTAA